GTTTCTTCTTTAAGCAAACTTGGAACACCTCACAACCATAGATAACTTTTTAAAAAAATGTTAACTACATTTACTTATTGATTAAACACACCCGAATAGAAAGACGTCTGTAAGAAAACAGTCCCTTTGCAGCTTTACTAAGAAAGAACAAGCTATTTCCCTGGCGTTTCAGAGTAAGCTCTGGTAATTTCCTCCTACGTTGACTACATAAATCACAAACAGTCAGGAGCATCCAAGATCTCAAGTGTCAGCTGATGAAGTCGGCCTTGCAGGAGACCCGGTAGGCCCAGTCCACTCCCATGGGCTCTATTTCAGAAAGGTATGGGCCCCTTTGTTGACATTCTCAACTCGTTTTCATACTTTAATGAAAGGAAGCAGAACCTGGTCAGTTTCGCTTACTGTGAATTTCCTACCTGGCTATTTTTTCAGTTGCTCTGCAGTGTCGGTAAATCCCTGGGATGGATAGTCCCATCCCTGCTCCCATCCTGTCCCCTGTGACTGTGTTTCTCCCTGTAGGAAGACCCCCCTGTGTGTGGGATCTGTACCAATCTCACTTGGGGGGCAGCAGCAGGGTGTGGAGGGGTGTTGGGTTCCCTGTGGCCACAGAACTGCCCGGGCTTCCCATGGCCCAGTCTCTAACAAACACAAAAATTCTGCCAACTGCCCTGGATCTCCTGCAGTAAGGAAAAATCTTCAGATTGAAGTAAAGAAACTGACAGCCTTTTTTTTGCGTGCTATCATCTTCCTATTGGAATCTAATTACAGAAAGAATTAAAATTATTTTTGTTAAAGAGTTCTTTGCTTTTTAAAGGAAAGGTTCTTGATGGGTTTTGCAACAATTCTGATGTCTTTCAAAGAGAGCTGTTCACCCTCATTATGTTTTTTAACTGTGTCATATGTGAACAGGGTAGCACAAGCACTTTTTTAAAATCTTTAAGTCACAACCCAGGTGCTTTGAAGCTGCTTCCGGAGCAGCACAGATGAGGGCAACACCATAGGGCCCCCCCAATCCCAGTTAACCTCCTGCAAGGACACCTCTTCCCCTCCAAAGACTATGCTCCTCCACCAACTTTCTCAGAACACAGCTGAAAAGCAGGACTGTTTACAGTTCAGCAAATCTACAACCCAGGCAGGAGTAGCTCAGTACAAACTTTTACTGTCCTCTTCAGTAAAATCCAACACCTTCATACAAACCAAAACTTGATTCTGAAACACATTCCAAAACCAGGACTGTCAACTGGTTTTCAGGAACACAACTTGAAAACTAGAATGGATAAAATGACTCAGATAATTCAGAGCACCCCATTAATATTTTATTGAAATATCCCCCTAACCTAGTTCCCTTTTTTTTGGTTGCTAGTGAACCTCTTATCTATAAATGCAGAATTTCTCGGGAAAATTGTAATTTCTCCCTGAATTCTAAATCATTGTATCAGGGTATAATAAAATGTACCCTAAATGCTCAAATCAATAAATCTTTATCAAATTAAAAATCACAAATGAATTCACAACTTCTTTGCTATAAAAGTTACATAATACAGATACTAAATCACTTGTCTAATTATGCCAGTAGATTCCTTTTTCACTCCATTATCGGCACATAAATTCTCTCCACATTTAAGCATACATAGGCATTCAGTTCCTAAAACGCCCAGGTAAACAGTAGTGGGCACAACAAGCAGCTGTAGGGCCCCTCTTCAAATAGCTTATGACAGAGTGAATGGCCACAAGTAAAAAGTGTCCCTACGTTTTGCTATAATAAGACTCAAACACAGGATTCCAAGAATTCCACCTGTTTCCAATTAGATACCAGAATTGCTTGAGTGTTTAAACTACGTTCACTAGCTACTTACACAAAACAATTCTTCCGGGTTCTATGGACATTTTAAATATGTTAAAATAAGATTAAGGGTCTGGTTTAAACAATCAGAGGCAGAGAAATTTCAGTTGAAACCAAAACTGTCTATCTCTCTCAGCAGCGATAATACAGAGCTTCAGACAAAACAACAGGAACCAGATAAACGAATTTTTGTCTTTGACAACTACTAATAAAATTCAGACTTTTCATAGGGAGAGCAATTACATTTTAAAAAGTTATATAATAAGTAATTTTAAATACGTTTTAAATAATTTCTACAATACCTTATGATCCTTGTATATTAGAATAACTGTTACAGTAACTTTTACATAGCATTTATGTTGCAATCCATCAGATACGCTTGTCTTTTAAATATGTGAAATTTACATGAGCCAAGCACAGGTAGGAATTTAACCTAGTTCCACAGGACTTTTCATACCAGATGAAATTTCTCTTTTTAAAAAATTGTACAAGTTTTTCCCTAACAAATGTGTCCTTCATTTCACTACAGATGTTCCTGGGGCTTTATAAATGAGCTGAAGCACATATGGATTTTCTACTTCTAGCTTTGTTTTCTCTACTAAGACACAGAATGTGAGCACAGCCTCAGGAATGATTTTGATTGCTAACTGCTACAGGTACACCCAGAGGGGGATCACAGAGCACAAACTATGGTTTCTGCACAGCTCCCACATAAACCCTGCTGGGTTTGTCTTAATTGTGCAGTAACAGGAGAAAAGACTTTTTAAATGACCATTAAAGGTCTTGGGCTCAATGGGTTCATCAGACAGCATTTTTAAGGTGAGCTTAGTAGATCAGGAAAGAATAATTCCAGAGGGGACTGGGCTATTTGTCCCAACTTTCTCATGCAACCTAACTAGTGACAGAAGACACATGAAATTGGGGATGCAAGCATGGGGGCTCTGTGGACCCAACCGTACCAGGAGGTGTTGCATTAACACTATCCCTCCACTGACTCAAAAAAAAATAATAATAATTTCACACAGGAAAACTATAATTGACTGAAAATAACCTCTTTCTATACCAAATCTCAAAGTCACTGACATTAAAAGAATCATGAAAACAGAAAAAGGAGCAGCACCAGTGTAATTTGTTTATGTATTATTTTATAAAGGGTACTAGATAGAGTATTTTAATTAAAATAATATACTTATTACAGGTAACAGTACTGGACAGGCAGTAACATACACACTTCTAAAACAGGAGAAAACAAAAGCAACCAGAAAATGGACTTTCGGCAAAATCGAAATTATTTTCTAATTTTGAAAAAAAATGACAACTTCTAAAGTTTACTTTTGCAGAGAGGTTCCTTAAAGGAGAACACTGGTCACCACGTGGGAATAATGCTCCAAAGGGAAGCTGTTCCCTGGCAGGCCCCATCCCAAAAAGTTCAAAGCTCCACTAACACGCAGCGCTACATGAGTTTGTTTTAGAAAGTGTCCTCTCTTCAAACGTGTATTTAAAAGATAAATTGATACAATGGTGTTTTTCTTATTAAAAAAAAAAAAAAACCCTGGTTTTTACAAGTCTAGGATAGCATAAAAACTTGTCCAACTAGTCTTAGCAAGGCCGAAGCACTAAAGCTTCCACACCGCAAGCCTTTGGGACTAAAAAGGAAGAGAAATAAAGAAGAAACATCAGAAACTCTCCCTGGGTGCTCACCCCATCCCAAGGCAGCAGCTTCCAGACCCAAAAAGCAGGACAAGGACCCAGCCCCGGCTCACTTGGTCACGGAAGAGGTGCAGAACTGCTCCACCTAACCCCAGACCCTCAGAACTCTCCAACCTGGATCTACCTCGCTGAGACCCAGCCTCTTTACCTGCAGGTGGCAATGCCACAGCCTACCCTGGGCTCTGCAGGCAACCCGATCTCAGTATAAAGAGGACTGGAAAGATGAGAAGAGTCTGAAACTAATGAATTCCCTCTCAAAGTGCAGTCTCATTGGCTCGCTTACTGTCTGTGGGAATACACAGGACACTCCACCAGATACCAACTCAAAAGGCCTCCTCAGGGCCCACAGAAAGAACCAGTATGGCCTTATACTTGAACTCTGGCATTCTGCATTCAACTGAAGTTTTCAAACATGGGATGAAGCGGCCACAGGAAATCATCTAAGGCGAAATCGTGAGCTACCACCAAAAGGGAATAGATGCTCAGTAAAGAGAATGATGCTCGGATGAGGGACTTTGGTTTGGGTTTTTTTTTCCCCCCTTCTCGAGATCTACATAAAGTTCAAGTAAACTAAGAGGGAAACTTTCAATCAAATCCCAGAGCCACGATCCCCTGAAGAAGTAGCTATAATCACTTGGGGAGAGGGGGTAGGGTTACAGACTTCATGAAACCTAATAATGCTCTACAAACCAAATCCATTTTGCAGTTTTGCCAGGATGCTTAAGAAAGAGACTTCATTGATAATTAAGCTAGCATGTCACATTTAGGAAGACAAGAGAAAAAAAAATAATAAGGTTTGTCTCTTAAAACTCCACAACGGGTTTTACAGTAAGCACAGGAATTAAATTATGGTAAAAGGGAGCTATTTTTACTAAAACAGGGTAGACCAATTTATCAAAAATGCCATTCGGCTGTGTTCATTACATTCGGGAATCTAATTTACACAATAGACACTTTGGAGTAATCTATTTTAGTCAATAAATACTCAAACTCCTTTAAGTTTTAATCTTATCGGAAATACATATTTCACATAGTCTTCTTTCTAGTTAAGCGAGAAATTTGAGGAAATTTCATAACGACTTGAGTCTGCTTTATCGTTCTTACGTAGGCAAGAGCAGAAAACAAGCATATACAATTAAAGTTGTCAGACTCCATTTATGTAAGTTTTAATCCAATTCGCTTCATTTCATACAAGCCTGCATCTGGAGTTCATTTGCTTTACTCCTGCAGGTAGTGCAGGTCACTATCACCAGTCCTCCCAACTAGGAAAGTTCAGCCAAGTTCACCTTCACGCACACCTCAGAGCTGGGAGCAGTAGCCGGTCCCCAGGGGCTCTAGGGGACACCCCCCTCGCGCAGCGCCAGGCAGCCCAGGGGAGCCGCAGGGCACTTCCACTTCCCCCTGCGCCAGCACTCACGCAGACAGTGCTTCTTGCTCACACGCCGCTCACCTTCAGCTTGGCTCCGGCTACGCACAACATCCACCTGGCAGAGTCCCGGGGCTGTCCAGGCGCCGCGGGCGCGGAGCTGGCGCGTGCGGGGCGGACCCTCAGGGCGCGCCGCTCCTCCGGGTGGAGGGTGACAGGCAGGAACTCACCCCCGGGGCACGGCGGCAGGTCCCGCGCCGGATGGGGAGCCCCGGCACTTTCCCCCTGCGGCGCCCGGGGCTCTGCGCTCCGACCACCGCCCGGCACGCCACTGTCCAACCCGGCCCTCCGGGCTTGGCTTTCGAGAACCGGGCCGGGGAGAGCATCTCGCAGCGGACCCGCCGCGCGCTCCATTGCGCCTGCGGACCCTGCACAGAGGGCCGGCTCCCAGGGGAGAGGGCCGGAGTCGAGCGGGCGGTGGGTGCCCGGGGGCGGCCGGAGCCCCGGGGCGCGCGGCTGGAGCCGGCCGGCCGGCCGCAGGGAGGAAGCGTCCCCCGCCCGGCAGCCGGCGCGCCCGGGCGCAGCGCGGGGCCTGCGCTCGGGGAAAGTTGCAGCCCTCCTCCCGCGCCCGCCCGGCGGTCCCGGGCGCCGCGATCCGCCGGCACCGCGTGCGGGGCAGCCCTGCCGCCCCTCGCCAAGTTTCCCCGAAGCGCCCCGCGGGGTTCCCGGCCGCGGAGGGCCAGGTCGGCGCCGCCGGCGCAGGAACACAAAAGAGCGGGGCGGCTGCGGGGCTGCGGGTGGTCCCGGGCGCTCCCGGACGTAAACAAACCCGGGGCTAGCCCGGGAGCCGCGCCGGGCGCCGGGCGGCAGCGCGACCCGGCCGCTGACAGCCGGACGGCGGCCGGGGCCGGGCCGGCCGGGCAGGGAGCGGGCGCCCGCCCGGCCCCGCCCGCCTGGCCGGAGCCGGGCCGCGCCGCCGCCGGTGGCCGCTCTGACCCTCCCCCGAGCCGGCGGCACCACAGCGCCACCAGCCCAGCTCCGCCGCGCCGGCGGCTGTGGCGGCGGCTCCTCCTGGAGAGGCAGGCGCTTCACCCCCACAGCAACTCCCCACAAACTTTCCCCGGGAATACGGCGGGCCGGGGGCGCGGCGCGCGGCGGCGCCGCCGCGGCCGCAGCCCCCTCGCGGCGCCGCCGCCGCCGCCGCCCGCTCCCGCTCGCGCGCCCCGCGCCCGGGCGCCCTCCCGGTCCCCGCGCGCGCGGCGGCGCGGCAGGCCGGGGGGGCGCCCGGGGTGGGGGCAGACACCGGGGGCAGCGGTGGCGGCGGCGGCTCCCGGCGCCATCTTGGGCTGATCGATGAATTGAACAAAGAGGATCAATTTCTGATCAAGCGAGTTATCAATGGGGGCCGGGGAGCGAGAGGGACTTGTCCCCGACTCGGCCCCGCTTTCCCCGGCACCCCCTCCTCCCCGCCGCCGCGGCCCCCCGGCGGCCGGGCAGCCCGGGGCCCCGGGGGAGGCCGCGACCGCCCGCAGCCCCCACCCCCGGGCGAGAGGCCGAGCGAGGAGAAGCCTGACCTGCAGCTGCTGTAAATCAAAGCGCTTCCAATATTGAAACATCGATCCCACATTGGCCGCCATCTTGAGACATATTGAGACGGAGTGAGAGGCTGATAGAGAGGGGGCTGGAGTTCAGGAGCCGCCAGGAGGCAGCAGGCGGGCGGCGCCAAAACCCGGCCTGGAGCCGGCCGCCGCCGCCGCCACGGAGGACGCGGACTCCTCCTCACGGCGCCGCCGCAGCCATGGCGAGCCCGAGCCGGAGCCGGAGTCGGAGCCCGAGGGCGCGGCGGCCGACGGCCGGCTGGCGCGCGCGGCCCGGCCCTCCCCGGCCGAGCGGGCTGGCGGGCGCCCCGGCCCGCGACCCCGCAGCCCTCCGGCCAGCCCCAGCTGCGGCGGCGGCGGGCCCGGCCCCGAGGGGCGCTGGAGGCAGCGGGAGGGCGCGGGCCCCGCGCGAGGCCGCCGGCCCGGCAGCCCCGCCCGGCCCCTCCGCGGCCGGCCAAAACACACACACACACAACACACAAGCCGCTGCACCAGCCTGGACGCGGGTTCGGGCCCCCGGGGGTCGCGGGCGGCGGCCCCTCAGGGCCTCGGCCGGGGTGCTGTCGGCCGCCTCAGGGCGGGCGCCCGCGCAGCGCTCCTTTCTCTCTCCGAGCCGCCGCGACCACCTGCCCGAGCCCCGACCCCGCGCGGCCCAGACCGCGACAGGCGCGCGTGTGGGAGGCGCAATGGCCGTGGGCGGTGGCACACCGACCCCTCAGCGCCCAGCGGGGACTCGGAGAGGCGGCCAGAAACAGCGTTCTGTGTTTGGGGGAGTGGAGTGGGGGGATCCAGCCCTGACCCTCAGGTCGCTGCACCCGTTGAAGCCCCACACCCGGGCCGCGCGGCCCTGGGTCGCCCCGAACGCACCGCAACGGCAGGGGCACAGGGGTCCCGGCGGCGCCCGTCCGCCCGAGCCACTCCGGTTCAGGCCACGACAGGGAAAGTCTTGAAGCACAGTTCTGTGTCCCCTCGCTGTGCTTCAGCGGAACAGCCCGAGAAACTTCCTGTGGCTCAGACACCTCGGGTTTATTCCTTTGGGTGCAGAAACTTGGAAAGTGTGGGCACATTCACTCAACACAGAAAGCATGGTTCCAAGTTTACAGAAATGCTAAAATTTAAACCAAAAAATAAATTCTCTTTTGATTTCTTTCCTCGCAGGAACCTGGCAAAAAGCACGTTTTATGAGCGTCATCTTTAATTGATTATACACACGTGTGAGTTTGAGTCTCCAGCAGGGATACTGTACTTTGACTCTCCCGCACTTCATTTAACGTGTAATTAGTTAAAACAAATCCCCAAATTCCTTAATCTTGAAAATTATACGTAAATAAAATCTGTATGGAATACAAAATAAAACATTTACGTGGAAAATAATTGTTTCTCAACTGAGTTCGAGGGTTTAGCGCTGAGCAGCGGAATGAATTCAGCATTTTCGAAGGAAGGGACTAGAAATGAAAGTCCCAAGAGCTGGGGACCGCACGTGTCCCCAGGTCTCGCACTGCTGGCCAGGGTCCGCAGCTGCACAGCGAGGAGGCTCCCGAGGTGGGAGCGGGGTTCACGCGTCCCGGGCTGGACTCGCCGAGGGGCAGGAAGCAGGTGGGTGGGAGCGCGCGGGCGTTGGGGGGCGCGTCGCGAGCCTCGGCCCAGGTGCTGTGACGCCGCGCTGGGCAGGGCACTGCGGACCTGGGGTGGCCGCGGGTTGCCTCGGTGTGGGGCGCCCGAGCCCGCGCGCGCAGTCGGCCGGCGGCCGCGCTGCAGCTCCGACCGCGCCGCCCGGTAGAGGGCAGCGGCGCCCCGACACTCGGGTCCTCGGGTCCCGGCGCACGTGCCCACCGGCGCGCCCCGGCCCCTGCGCCTGGCCACGCCCTGTCCCGGAGTCTGGCTTCTGGCGGGAAGCGGCAATGCCACCTCAGGCCATTCCTGTCTGAACGAAATACTTCTAAGGATCCGTACACCCTCAGGGGTCTTCTACCCTCCGCTTCGAATTTGCATTTGTGCGGTGGCCCGCAGGCGAGACCTAGGAATTGCTCTAAAAGTGGCTAGACAAATAAAATGAGCAGGGGCTTTAAAAAAAATAAAAAATAAAAATCCCTCCCGTGGGGAAGGCTCAAGGAAGGATCAGGGAAATGGTTTGGATTTAGTGCAGATGTTCTCAATCTAATTATGGTGTAGGTCCCCTGGGTTTGAACCAAAAAAGTAAAATATATATGACCTGTGTAATGCTCCAGAAGTACATCTGGTTGGAATTCAGGGTTCTGAACCCACGGCAATATTTTAGAAATAAATTTGATGAGTATTAAATACCCTTGTTTCTTGTCATATTTATATCATGCAAATGCTAACCTGACTTAGAAGAAAAACACTACATTGTATGATCCAGAGGTTAAGCTCTATTTAAATAAAATTTAGATTTCTTCTACCAAAGTTTTGGGTTATTCAAGCCTTATTGCTCCCTGGGGGGTGGGGGTGGGTTATATAACTTTGCCAGCACCACAACCTGTCGCCTTTTAAAAAGAAAATCATTCAAAATAAACCATTCATCAAAAATGATCTTAGCTAAATGAAGTAGACCTAAAAAGCTTTCGAAAATCATTTTTTTCTTGAGCAAGTGTAGACATAAAATAAGAGCAAATTATATCTATTTCTAAAGACTTTTTTTCAGATTGACTTTCTCACCATTGTAAAAGCTACTAGGACTCATTGGCATTCAAATACAGTGGATCTATAAAGCTGTACCCTGTATAAAATATTTAGAAAATAGAAAGGTTTTAGGACCTGGATCTCCACTGGCACCTACAAAGATAACACAATGATGACTATGCCCCCCCCCTCCAAAACACACTGTGAGGAAGGAGTGGATTAGCAAGATAACTGGCCCAGGACCAAGAAGCACCCGGAACACCTTGACTCATAATTGGTATTACTTAAAATGAAGCACAAGAAAAAACAATCCACAGGCATTTGGTCACTGTTGGACATTCAGGCTCTCCCTTTGGGGGAAGAAAGCTCACAGTTCCCAAGTATATGACTAATTTGCTACCCCAAGCTTTCAAAATCAAACCCCCAGTAATCAGATGGGGGGACTGACCACAATGATGTTTGTTCTTGACACTTTTACATGAAATACAGCTTAGCACCAAATAAGGCAACTAAATAACTAATACATGAGCTCCGAATTCCTAAATATCTTTTCTGATCCATTTTATTTTGCCTAAAAAAAAACTTAGTGGCCACCTTGGGGATGTGATTACATGAACCAATGTAACTTACAGAAAATCAGAAAGCACTTTTAGGAGTTCATTCTTCCCTATCCTCCTAGCATTGGTGGATTCTCCTCTCCCCAACATCTACAAATAGTATAGGATTAAATCCATGAGGGTAAAAATTGGCAAATTTTCCAAAATACCATATGGTGGCCCAAGAAATGAAAATGCATTGTGATGTTTTGTAAAGATTCAAATTTAGTGATTGTTCTGATATACTTAACCTAATTCTTTGAAGGAATTAACTGTCAAGAATTTCTTCCAAACTGAAAAAATGTCTTATACTACAGACCATTATAAAAAAGCCATACTCTCTATCCTCAGAAGAGTCTTTCTCTTCTGCTATCTTATTTATTATGGACTCATAAAATTAAGTTTCACCTAAAGTTGAAAAATTTTATCCCCCCCCCAGAAAAAGTTAGGGAATAATCTAGAGTTTTTACCAAACTACAAGAAAAATGAATAAATTCAGAAATCTTCTATGTGATATGCTTCAAAAGAAAATTCAAGAGATTCACTCTAAACCTTAATTATTAATTTTCTTAATTTTTTTACATCCAAATTAGAACTAATTTTTAATAATTTTCAACAAGAAATATTTCAAATAATCAGAAAC